TATTCAAAGTGACGGGAAAAGAGTTAGTGTTGAAATTAAAATCAGATGATTGGGAAGGAAAAAGAGAATTTATTTATTTAAAAAATTTTGAAATAAAGGATCGTTTTGTTGTGAAAACAATTGAAAAACATAACAATAGCTACTGCGGCACTAAATATGATATAGAAGGATATTTGCATTTAATTGAATTAAATCGTGAAAGAAATACTTTTAATGTTGAGATATTTGATGGATCAAGAATTTATACTCCATCTTCTCAATTAAAAAGGAAAATTGTGATTGAAATTGTAAATAATAAAATTATTCAAAAATATTTGCCAGAATTTGAGAAAAAGGTATTTTATAATTTGATTATTCTGATATTTAAGCCAAAAATCTACCTTAAATTAAACCAGAATATCAATTAAAATAGGTTGACAGAGCGTGACCGGACAATCCGTCAGTGGACAATCCGGCAGTGGAAAATCCGTCAGTGGACAATGCGTCAGTGGTCGGACAATCGGTCAGTGGACAATCCGTCAGTGAACAAATTTGTAATTCCTACCCTTACTCAAACTATCGTGGCCAAAAATTTTCATTTTATAGTGTAGGGGATTATAAGAGATATCGAAAATATGGAGATTAAGTAGGAAATCGGCAGATTTAGCTGGATTAAAAGCAATTCAGTGGGCAATGAGGTTGAATTACGCCAATGTCGATGGCTTTAGAAGGATATCGGGGATTTGGATGGATTAGATTTACGTGATTAACGTGTGGCATTATTGTAGGATTTGGGTAAATATCGTGTAATTATGGAACTCGATAAATAAGTGAGTTTGTTTTTAGATGGATAACATGGAACAACCTCCAAATCCTCTTAACCCGCCTATATCCCTTGATCTCCTCCTTTATCCACGAAATCCATCTTAATCTCCCAAATTCCTAGATAACCACCACAATACTACAAATCTTTTATATTCCCCTTGATCCCACAATATCTTTGAAGTCCCCGATGACTCCCAAATCCACAGATATGCTTTTAATCCAGCTAAATCTGCCGATTTCCTCATTAATCTTCATATTTTCGTTATCTCTTATAACCTCTCACAAGAAAAAATGAAAATTTTTGGCCGCGGTTTTTTGGATTCTAGTGAGAATTACAAATTTGTTCACTGACGGATTGTCCACTGACCGATTGTCCGGGAGCCCAGAGGGTTGGCGTATGTGTAGTTGGAAATCCTCGGATATCCGGATTTAATATCCGAACCGAAAATTTCTGATATCCGGATATGGATTCAGACTTTTGGATATCCGGATCCCACAATCCTAGTCGACAGCCTGATAATTTCTATATATAATAAAGCAGTAATGGGCTATAAAAATTTCTCTTCTTCAGCTAGTAGTAGTAGTTAATCGGAGGCTAGTAGTTAATCGGAGGCTGGGCCAACCCAGTGCAGGGGGCCAACCCAGGACCCCTGCACAGCCGTGAGAATTGAATAGCTATGTGCTTTACAATTCTGATTATACGTATAGTACAATATAAAAATGTATTTTTAAAAATGCGTTACGTATCCTCGTCGTTTAGCCTCGTATATTGCTTCGTACTAATTTGTCCATAAATTTAAGAAGCTCCGATACAATGATTTTAATAATAAGGATATTAGATATTTTGAAACTTCTATATCAGCTGAGAGGTTAGACAAATATATTTTTGATTCGAATTCAATTGGAGAAGAAAGAGAAATATTAAAGGATAATATAGAAAATTACAAAGATAAACTTCTATCAGATTATTGGACGGAAATTAATTTAATTGGATATAAAATTGAATTGTTAGAAAAACAAAAAGTTCAGTACCCTAATGAAGAATTAAAAAACAGAATTATTTACATTGGCAATAAAATAAGTAAATTAATTAAATTTAGCTTTTTTGTATATCTGTTTATCATTTATCTAATTAATGTAAGCTTTTTATCCTTGATTATTACAGATATAATGATGGATGGTAATAAACGAAATTGTTTCTACTGCTCAACTACACTTGCCATAAAATGTAATAAATACCTAGAAGAACATCATTTGTGCCATGCATGTTACCAATATATATTAACACATGCTGGCAGTCATAGACCGATATTATTTTTGTTTAAAACAAAAAAGGTTTGTCTTTATAATTCGGAATCTTCGTTTGAAAATTATTTCAAAATATTTAATACTTTCGACTCTTTACATACCGAAATCTTCTTTTGAATTTTGTTGGCATAAGAAACAAAGTCGTTAAGTTTCCTTTGGTGTTTTTATAAATTAATGATTTGAAAAAATAAAAACCCAAAAACTAGTTTTTTGGATAAATCTACCGGGACCGTCTGATTTAGGCAGATTCACTCCCATCTTAGGAGTGAATCCCGAATTCTAGATTAGAAAATGTGACCTTAGTGATCCCTAATGCAAAAATAAGTGATTGTCGGGAGCCAAACTTTTGTCAATTTCTTACAATAAATCTGGTTCCTTTCTATCAAATTACCTCTTTATATTTAAATATGCCATTATGTGACATTTACCGTTGATAAAAAGGAATACATAAAATAAAAAATTTCTAAAAGGGAAGGCGAAAAGCGGAAACGCGATGGTAAAAAACGGAGATCGGTTGAATCCTATCAATGCTATACTATACAGCTCTATTGAATTTTTAAGGAGGATCGTCAGTGTTTTATCTGTGGGTCTACAAACCAAATACAACGGCACTCTGATTCGGAATCTGGTAATTACTTATGTAATAAATGCTACAGTAAACAATATAAAATAAAGATGAAAAATAAAAAGTTGAAATAAATGAATTGAATAAATGGAAACAATTAAAAAAGACCTTTCTCCTCATCAGAACTAAGGTTGACGGATCCAGATATCCGAAGATTTCATAGGATTCGCTAGCCTTACTACTGACAATCCGAGTCCTTTCTCTAAAGTAGACAATAACGATGTTTTATGATTGATTGTGATAAAATTTATTGTCAGTTTTTCTTGGATTCCTGATTAGTTAAATCAATATCTACTGAATTTTTTAGCTAACCCTGAGCAGATATTCTTTCTAATATCTAGAAATATTAGGTATCCTTTAAATAATTAAACTTTTAAAGCATTTTGCTCATCTAGCTAGGTATGTAACTGATCAGAAATTTTTTCTTTTCTGCTCATATTTTGGGGTAGTATAAATTTATTCTACGCAGAAAATTTTTCAAATGTAGGATTTTAACTCCCTTTTTAACTACGAAAATTGGTAATATTCACAATTCGTTTCGCTATTCAAATAAAAAAGAAAATGCTTTAAAATATTTATTCGACAATAAGTGGATTTGTTACATTTTATTATTCCCTTTTTTGGATTTGTATTTAAGTAATATTTACTTTGTAATTTTGTGAAAAAATATTCAAGACATTCTCCTTCACTGTAAAAGTAAGAATTCGTTCCTGACTTCTATTCAACTCTCCCTTAGGTGCTCTATAGGGATCTGACGAAACAAATATTTAATGTTGAAAAATCACTTGCTTAATCTAATTTTATCGGATTTTATTTGATCAAATTTATATTTGAATATTATCAATCTTCGTCAATCTTCGTCAATCCTCCTCCAACGAGGCTAAATATACACCACTAAAGATTGACTTTTTTTTAGCGAAATAGAGAATTTTGGCCTATTCTCCTTCAAAAAATTCTCAAAATTTTGCGCTGAAATGAAAAATTGCTTATTAAGAAAATTATTTCCGACCAGATTAATCAAGAAATATACGGCCGGTTCCGTTACAGTCTATGTACTATATATCCAGTGATGCGGGGCAGGTTTGCCACCCTTCTTTTTTAGATTAGTGTAAGCCTCTCTTGAGCTTTATCAAGACTTTCTCGGCCTAACAATAATTAAAAAATTTAAAATCAAAAATTATTTTATTTAATATTTTAGTTATTTTTTAAAATATATTCTAAATATTAAAAATTTCTTCATTCAACAAATAAAAGTTTAATCCCTTCCCCTTAAAAATATCTTTTCGTTCAGAATGCGCAAATTGGGATTTTTTGGTTCAGGTGGGGAGTTGGATGAAGAAATAAAAAAGGAAAGGGAGAGAGAGAAGATTATCTCGATTGAATATCTTCACACAAAAATACATCCATTTTTACTAAAAATATTTTTAGTATTCGACCTGGTCACATAATTTCTTTTATCCTTTAAATTTTCTTCTTTCATCTATCTTTTTCAATCCTTCCGCCCAATAAACAACCACAAATATAAATATTTTTCTAAATAAAATTCTTATATATTTATTTCATCACCTCCTATTTAATTTGCCCTAATTTTTAGCTTTTCTTGTGTCATCTTTAACGCGCACAAAAATAAAATTAATATTAATATACACCTTTATTAAAGTCAAAAAAGAAAGTAAATTGGTTTAAAGATTCTCTCTCGTTTTTTTATTAAAATAAGGTTTATTAGGATTAGTAGTAATTTTAAAAAAAATGAAAAATTTAGATAAACTAAAAAAAGATTTTAATTTATTTTGACCTTTAATAGACTTATATGTAGTATAATTTTTGAGTAAATTAACAAATATGTGTCAAATAGCTTGGCTGTTTTTATCGCCTTGACTATCAATTTTTTAAATTACAAACCTGAAACCGAATAGCTCAATTCAAAGTTTACCTCAAACCGATATTCGATTCTCTAAACTCAAGCATAACCCAGATAATCCTGCTTAAATTTATTGAAGATCTCTAAAAAATAAATCATTGATATGTGTTTAATTTAATATTACACTCATTTATGTACATAGTAGGGATCTAGCCGACAAAAATTAAATTCCCGATTTTCGGGAATCGGGAATATATGGAGGGGCGATTCTATTAAAAAATTTTTTTATGATTTAATTTTAATTTTTATTAAAAAATTTTCAAAGAAAAGATTATTTAAATATGATTTTAAATTAAACTTTATTCTTTGATAGCAATAAACACTATTTTAAAAACTTAAAAAATGAGGCAAATAAAAAGGATTACAATTCTATTTCCTTTATTATTATTTAACTTTATTATCTCCATTTCGGCAACTTTTTGCCCAACAAATTTAATGCGAAATCAAACAGCCTGTACATGTGAGGAATATATAGATGGAGCTATTATTAAATGTAATGGACCTAATGGACCTTTAGTTGTTGAAAATCTTAAAAAATTAAATGTTGAAGTTAGAGAATTGGTCTTAGAAAATGCTAATATTATTGAAGTAAATGTTTAACTAAAAATTTTAAAGACAGGAGTTTTCAAATTTTTTAATTTGAAAATTTCCAAAAAAATTTCCTGCTTCTGAGTTAATTAAATTTTCCGAGATAATAATTACAGCAATTTAGAACCGGGCATTCAATAAATTCGGGTATTTTCTTTCATATGAGATACTTTTGAGTAAGGTTGTTGGTTCTTGGTCGGAACGAAAAACCTAGGATTTTTCGGTTCGATTCTTCGGTTCGATTTCAGATATTCGAAGAATTTTCAGGAATCGATAACTCTACTCTTGAACTGCTTAAGCATATGGAACCTTATTATAATGATCTCTTGTGTAGATACAAATAAAGATAAAGAGTGTAGGAGCGTAAAGAATTCAAGCATATTCATAGGGTTTTCGTTCTTTTTAAACTAATCTCCATCTTACCTTTTGTAGTAACAATTTATTATTTTAATGCTTACTTTAAAGCAAAAATATTTTTAAAAATTATTTAGGAAGTCAATATAATTAAAAATAAAAGTTAATTTTAGATCGGTCCTCGTGCATTTTTGGGCATGAGAATAAAAAAATTAGTTTTGGACAATAACAAAATTAAATTTATACAAAAGAATGCTTTTAGAGGGCTTGAATCTATTTTACAAGAACTTTCAATTGTTGGAAACAGATTGACTGAAGTTCCTATAGCGGCATTAGATGGTTAGTTAACCTAAAAATACTGCTTAAGTATTTGGAACCTTATTATAATGATCTCTTGTGTAGATGCAAATAAAGATAAAAAGTTTAGGAGCGTAAAGAATTTAGGATTACAATTGTTTATATTAGCTTCATTACCTATTTTAGCCACGGGGACAGGACGGTATCCTGTGTGAGAACCGTCCAACGTCCCCGAGGGCGATGGTAAAACTCTATTATTATAGTAAACAGTGTCCCAACGAGATCTCTCCCTTAAAATAACTTGCGATATTATACTCTCTATAATAAACTCTCTATAATCAACTCTTCCTTTACAAGTTCACTACAGAAAGAGTTGACTTTTTCAAAATTATCTAGATATATTTTTATATCATTTTTTATAGGGCTAAACCAATTAATTGGTTTGAATCTTCGTTGCAACAAAATTGGCAACCTTACAAACGTTTCTTTTCAAAATATGCCAAATCTAATAGAAATACATTTAGGGTGTAATAAGGTATTTTAATTCTTAAATATGAAATAAAAGCGTCTTAATAGATTTGTGAAATTTCTGAAAATGCTTTTAGAGATGTTAAACAAAGTGTACAAAATATTATTTTGGATAATAATTGTTTAACACAAATGCCTAGCAGTGCTTTAGAGGAAATGAATTCACTAATAGCTCTACATATTAAATATAATCATGTAAATTTTTAATAAAAATGGAGTCTAAATTTTGGTTTAAGCTTTAAGAGTTCCTGAATTATCCTTAACTTTCCCAGAATCTGTAAATAAAATAATGATAAGGATACGTCTAGACTCTGGGCAGTTAATCATTCAACCTCGATGATATTGGTTGCTGATCTAGGCTTAACTAACACTTAACTAGGCGCTGATCTAACCTACAACATCCCTCCCCAACAAATCAAAGGATCTAAATAAACGAACAAGAGAAAAAAATTTTTGCTGATTATTTTTATAAGATCCTGTAGCCAGGCGTTTTAAGGTTGTTAACACTAAAAAAACACTAAAAATCTGTTTTCAATGTCGCAATTTTTTCGATTTAAGCAACTAAGTTTTTCGAAAAACTTCAAAATTTAATCGTTTAATAATTCAATTAAAATTTAGATAGAAGAATTGCGAGAAGGAGGACTTCGCAATTTAAGCAGTTTAAGCTTATTAAGCCTAACAGGCAACCACATTTCCCATATTTCTCCTAATTTTATTTCAAATGTGCCCAATCTTCGGTATATTTATTTGGGTGAGAATCAGATATCCAAACTTGAATCAGACGCAATGAAACAATTTACTGCTTCAGAAATAATTGATCTAAGTCATAATACAATTGAGCAGATCAATGCAGATACATTTAAAGGAATGGAGAATTTACAGGTGAAACAAGATAAATATTTATTGAATTGACGTAAACTTTTTACCCTCCTTTTCAATACCTAATGGCCATAAAATCCCTGATATTTATATGTTTCATATATCATTCAAAATTTTAAACGAATTAACATTTGATATGTTCTTATCGTTGTCCTAAAAAATTGAGGTAAATGAGTGTTGCTTGGTCAAAAGGATCAAGACGGATTTACTCCTATGTTTTATTTGTCTTGATCTGATTATTCAGCTCCCTCATTCCTTAATAATTTTGAACAGATCTTTATAAAATTCCATTACTGTCTAGTCTAGATTAATTTTTAAATTACTGATTAAATCAACCACGAAACCCTATATTTTTTGCTGACATCAATTAATTTAACAGAATTTTGGAAATGGGCGGTTACCGTATATGCTCGAATAATAACCCTCTCTCAAATAATTGCACCCTCTCAAATATAATAATTACCCCGTCTACTGAGAGGTTGAAACAATAATTACCCAGGGTAATTATTCGAGCATATACGGTAGGTCAACAATCTCCCAAATTCATTTATCAGTTCCAAAACTTTTTTTAATCCTTCCCTATTTTTTAGCATCTAAATCTCGAAGCAAACTCTATCAGAGAAGTAATGCCAGGTGCTTTTGCAACAACCCCTTTATTACTCCTTTGGCTTCCCCACAACTGTATTTCTTCTGTTTCGCCAAACATGTTTCAAGGCGCCCCCTTTTTGAAACAAGTTTCTCTTGCAAATAATAATATTCGAATTGTACAGGTAGCTGTTTTGAATTACCTGTAATTATATCAAATTTAAAATATTGCAGCCATTCAGTTTTGCACATTTGGCAAATTTGCATACCTTGGACCTTTCACATAATAAAATGCGCAGTATTCAGCCTTCGGCTATTATGGGCTCTGATTTTTTGACTGTTCGGGTTCAAGGTATTTAGAGGTTTATTCAAAGGAAATGTGATTTCTCGATTAATTATAATGTCTATACTTAAAAAAATTAAGAAAATCCACTTGTTTGTGCCCAAGATGGCTTCCACGTTATGAATGGCCGCGAAGCTATAAATCTTACAACAGAACCAAATTTGATATGCAAAACAGATTACGAGAATGACGATATAGATAAATGCCCAAGAAAGCCAGATCCTCCTCCAAGAAAAGTTTGCTGCGATGCAGGTAAAACAAACTTTAGTGATTTGATTAGTAATTTTTATTTTCATCCAATTTTAATCCTTTAGAAATCGCACTTAGTGTTTAACTTCCCACTCAGTTTTGAAATATTTTATTGGTAAATACAGTTGGTTTCTCAGTTCCAGAATAGCTTCCTTCGCTATAATGCCCAGGAGAGCCGGTGAGAAAAGAACTGAGAAATGAGAAAGAACTGAGAAAACACTTGCTATTTGTCCCGAATCTTTCTCGGGAATTACCGATAAAAATTTAAATCTCTGTTTCGGTAATCAGAATTTCTAAACCAAAAGAACATATACCTAATTTTCAATTTTCCCTTTTTAATTTAAAGCTCCAAAACCAACAGTATTAACTTCAACATTGCCAACAACAATCACAACAGAAGTAATTACCTCAACTCCTTTAAAAAATGAAATTTCCAATTTAACAACTCCAGTATCTTCAACTTCCTCTCCCCTTACAGCAACCGAATCAAAGATATCCGCAAAAGAAGAATTGTCCAACCGAGCCAAACAATTAAATATGGCTCGTTTCTATCGTTTATCAAAACGTCCGGATTTGATCGCCTTAAACGGAAGTTTGTTTTCTTCCGGAAAAAGGCCACATCTAGCAAAGCCAAAAACTGCAGAATATACAGAAAATAAGCAAGAAATGATCAAATCAGAAGAAAATTCTAAAAATGATTCTGAGGAACTAGCTAAATTACCTCCTCATGTTTTGGCACTAATTAATGGAGAAAATATTTCTAAAGAAAGACAAAAATCTAATGTTGAAAATAGACAAGTAGAAGTGGAGAAAACAGAAAATAAACAAATAAATAAAGTAGTGGATGAACAAAAATCAACAGAATCAATTGAAGATAATGAAAAGTAGGGGAAAATACTTTTTAAATTTTTATAATGTTTTATGATTAATTCGAAACGAAGAACAAGGATTTTTCGATTGGGTTCCGGTTGCTCGAAGGATATTTTAGAAGACCTCCTCCGCCCTATATATAGGGGAAGGAAGGTCACTTCCTCTCCTAGGGTGGAATCTTCCTTCCCCTATATATTCAGTGATCATATGTTTAAAAGAAATTACTGATAATTTTTAAACTTTTAATCAAACAAAATTCAACATCTTCCCCTTTATTCAATTACACGTCTCTGTTTCCCTTCGAAGAATAATCATATAAAATTTCCTATTAGTAATAGATTTGATTCAGTTTATCATATCCCTACTGATCAACACTATCGCACTATTCAACAAACTATAAAATCACTAGAAATCAATACTCTTTAGTGTTAATTTGATTTTATAGTTCGTTGATCTAGTGCGATAACTTCCCTCAGCAAATCTTTAAAAGAATTTTCAGATAATTTTCAAACTTTTAATCAAACAAAATTCAAAATAAAATATTTTAAGCACAAAATCAACACCTTCCTCATCATCTTTATTACTTCCAAAACAAATTGTTTCAACAACAGAAATTCGAAAAGGAGCATTTCCAACTGCTCCTTTTGTAGATAATTTAAGTGAAAATAAAATATTATCAAAACATAAACACGAACATTTGCAATTACCCAATGGAGGTGAATTTAGCCGGGATTTGAAAGCTGAACATGTTCAAATTGAAGAGAAAAAACCAAATCAAGATTTAGTGGCAAAACAATAAAAAAAACAATTTATTTATTTGTTTAAACAACAAAAATTGGACAAAACTCGTAAAAATAGTAGAAAAATGAGAGTTAAACCCCTAAACCCGACACTCCCGCCCCGGAAG